ATAGTCCAGAAGCGAGAGACTATACGTTCTTCTCAAGTGTCCATCAGACATATACCAGAATTGATTATTTTTTGGTTAAATCGGAAACTTTGGAGCGAGTTAAGAAGGTGACAATTGGACCGATAACATGGTCCGATCATGCACCTGTAAGCTTAGTTATAAAAAATAATGCTGAATATAAGTGTAGAGATAAATGGAGACTAAATGAAAATTTATTAAAATCAGAAATTAATGTAGAAGAACTGCGCACTCAGACTAGAGAATTCTTCGAAATCAATGATACAGGGGATGTCTCTAACGCCATGTTATGGTGTACGTTTAAATCATATATGAAAGGATGTCTCATAAAATTGGGTGCCACTATAAAAAAAAAGAAAGGAAAGGAGCTTAATGAGCTTTATATTGATCTGGCAAAACAAGAACGCTTACATAAACTTACCATTGACTATAAAATTTTGGCGGTTATTAAAGAGATCAGGGAAAGAATATTAGTAAGAACTCAAGAAAAGATTAATAAAGCTATGTTAATCTTAAAACAGAGATGGTATTATGGAAATAATAAAACAGGGAAAAATCTCTCAAACAAACTTAAAAATAAACTACAATCTATAAACTATATAACAGTCGGAAGTAAAAAAATGCTTTCTCCAACTCAAATAGCTAAAGCATTTGAAGACTATTATAAAAGCCTATATAATATAAAATATAATGAGCCACCTGAGGGCGAAACAAAACAGTTTCTGGATAAATTGAGCTTACCAAAAATATTGATGGAGAAATTAAGTCAATTAAATGCTCCATTTTCCATTCAGGAGATTAGCAATACTATTAAAGCATTAACAGCAGGCAAAGCACCAGGCCCAGATGGCTTTTCTTCAATTTTTTATAAAAAATTAAGTGATATAATTTCACCATATATATTAAGAACATTTGAAGATTTTGCTAATCATAAAGCCATCCCAACAGAATTACTTCAGGCTTCTATAATACCAATCCCTAAGATAGATAAGGATCCAACATACATTTCGAATTATAGACCAATCTCTCTTATCAATTTGGATATCAAAGTTTACTCCAGAATTCTGGCCGATAGACTTAAACAAAACATACCTAATATAGTACATTTAGATCAGACCGGATTTGTAGAGGGTAGGGGCACATCTGATAACATTAGGAAACTATTGAATGTCTTATATCATGCGAACCAAAGCTCATCTCCTTTCGCTATGGTTACCCTCGATGCCGAGAAGGCTTTCGATCGGGTTAACTGGAAGTATATGGAGGAAGTATTGAGGGCCTTCGGCATCGAGGGTTTCTTCAAGGAGTGTACAATGGCATTATATAAAGACCCTCAAGCTAAAGTATCAGGATATATGTTCCAATCGAATTGGTTTCCAGTTAGAAACGGGACGCGACAGGGATGCCCTTTGGCACCCCTGTTATATATCCTTTCTATAGAGCCGTTGGCAGTCGCGATTAGACAAAATGAAGACATCAGCGGGTTAAAAGTGAATAGGCTGGAGAATAAAATTGCACTTTATGCAGATGATGTATTATTGACCCTTGCAGACCCTATTAGATCTATCCCAGCCGTATTTTGGCTCATAAATGTGTATGGTAAATACTCAGGTTATAAAATAAATATAAAGAAAACACAAATTCTGATAAAAGGTTTAAGTGGATCTGAGGTAGACAAACTCAAAACAGATTTCAAATGTGACTGGGAAGTAAGGAAAATAAAATATTTAGGAGTAAAACTATCGCTAGATTACAGAGAAATTGGAGAACTTAATTATACAGACATTGCTATCCAATTTAGGAACACCTTAAAAAACTGGAAGGGATTAGAACTCTCTTGGTTGGGAAGGATTGAAGCAGTAAACTTCTATCTCCTCCCCAAGTTGACATTTTTATTTGGTAACCTCCCACTGAGGGTGTCATGCCAGACGATACGTGGTCTTCAAAGGCAAGTATCAAATTATATTTGGCAAAAGAGGAGACCTAGAGTGTCTTTGGAAATTTTACAGAGAGACTGGAAAGAAGGGGGGATTTGTTTCCCAGACATACAGAAATTATATATGAATAATATGGTTGCACATTTAATTAAGTGTGATAACTTTACAAAGTCTAGACCAAATTGGTTGGACATTGAAAAAGCAGATCTCTGCGATATAGAACCTTTATTTCTCTGGTGGTGCGACAGTGAATCTCTAAAAAACATAAGATCTAGTAATCCGATGAATAATACAATGATTTACATTGTTAAGTACTTGAAAAAAAAATATGGTACAAAATATATTTCATCAAATGCCCCATTAATAAGCTTAAAATATTACATAAAGGATATAAATATCCAAGAATGGGTACACTGTGGAATAGTAAGAATAGCGGATCTTTTAAATAATAATAAAATATTGCCATTCCCCATATTTCAGTCTAAATATAACCTTCCTTCGAAGGAAATATTTAACTATTTAAGAATAAAATCTTTTACTATGGGAAAAGTTCTTTCAGAAACTTCTCACATAGACCAGTTCATAGAATCCCATTATAAAAAAAAGATCGTATCTAGATTTAATCAATTTTTAAGAAGTCAAAGGCAAATAGATAAAGTGCCAGCAATGAGTAAATGGGAGCAAGAACTTCATTTTTCATCTTTGGTCGAGGATTGGTTATTGGGTTTACAAGCAGTAAAAAGATATATACATGGGGTGAATATACAGGAAGTATACTTTAAATTAGTATACCGTTGGTATTTGGTCCCTACCCGCCTTCACAGATTTCAACCCACACTTCTACCAGATTGTTGGAGATGTGGTAGGGAGTTAGGCTCATTCTCCCACATCTGGTGGGACTGTGAGGAGTTGAAACCTATGAAATTAATTTTAGCGGAATTGATGGATTTTGTGTTTGAAATTCAGACTGTGATTACGCCTCAAATGTTTTTGTTTCATTTAGACCTGCCAAAAAGTAATATAAAACTAAAAATCCTTATGATCCACATTTGTATGGCTATAAAAATAGTTATGGCTAGAAATTGGAGAAAAATGGGTGTGTTAAATTGGCACGATATTTGTACGCAGATAGATTACAAACGTAGCATGGAAGCTGGGATAGCCTTAAACAAGATATCTAGAGAAAAGTATAACGAAGTTTGGGTCCCTTGGGTTAGATACATTAATTATAAAAACTCAATCCCCCCTGCCCCCTTATAGATAGCCAATAGTAGGTAGCAGTGAAAATGTGGTATGGATAAGATGTATTGAGCGTATGGCATGCTTGCACGGTTGTAGATACAGCAGAACAGCAGAAAACTGGTAGATGTATATTTGAAGCACGGTTTTACTGTTATTCATATGTATTATTTTACTGTTAAGTAATTTTCTACAGTGTTTAAAGCTGTATCTGTATCTGAATGAATTTTAAAAAAATGAAATGAAAATAAAGATTTATATATATAAAAAAAAAAAATTGATATAATTGAATATCAATGTATTCAGCCCTAAGCACCATCAAAAGGATCTCATTGATCATGAGTTGAATTTCTTTGGTGGGGTCCCCCTGGAGTGGGCGGTAAGTATTGTGGTCTTGGAGTTGTAGTTTCAATTCTTCAGCATAATATTTATAATCCATGACAACGATTCGTCCTCCTTTGCTGAGCGAATCACTATGGAAGGGTCATTCGCTAGTTGTTTAATAAGGCACCGCTGTTGTTTTGTGATGTTATGGGGTTTGTTCTTATTTTGTGACAATGTAGTATGGGTTATTTTATTCGTGGTTGACAAAAAAAATTTGATTGATGCTTTATTAGACTGTGGGTCAAACACTGACTTCAGCCGAAATTGATCATATGTCTCCACGTTAGCTCGTGTCTTTAAGACTTCAGGGCGATCAAAGTATTCTTTTAGTCACGTGGATCTGCTGAATTTGAACAACTCTATGCTCCACAAAATTTGATTGGGGTATGCAGTAGGTACAAAAGAAAGACCACGGCTCAGTAGATCTATCTCATGTTCATCTTGTGGTCTATGGGACAGGTTGAAAATTGGGACTATTTCTTTAGAGGTGTTTTGCCCCGTTGGACAGCTCTTGCCCTTGTGTCCTCTTCTGGTTCTCCTCCTTCGTGGTTTGTTGCTCTGCTCCTGGTGATGGTGCCTATGTCTCTGTTCTCTAAGAAAGGAACTGGGTCTTGATGAATCTCACTTTCTGAAGCAGTCCCTGTGGTTATGTCAATAGTGTTTATTTTAGGGCGCACAATGCATTTACACTGTCTCCTTGGTCTGCGTGGATTACCCCCCGAGAGCCATCTGTAGACTTTGTGGTATTGATAGTCTAACAGAACTTTTTCAAACTTCTGTTTTTTGAACTTGATAAGTTTGTATTTATATTTCAGGAGTTCTTCCTTTAATTTCTGTTTTAATTTAATGCCATCAGGTGATACTAAAAGCACTCCATGTTCGATTTCAAAGCTCAGAATCTTTTGATTGATGTCTGCCAGGTCAGTTTTGACATATTGGATAATAATTAACATCAGGTCGAGTGATGCTATGTTTAGAACATATGTCTAATCCTTGCAGACTTTAGGCTTCATGCGTCCTATGGTGGGGATATTGGAATTCCTAAAGCCCCCACATATTCTCTTCACCTTATAATAGTCCGAGAGGAACAGGCCGTGCAAATCCAAATCAATACTTTTCTTGTGTAAATGAATTAACTTAAATAAATTAACTGAAATAAACATCTCTGGAGTTTAAATGGTGGGGTAATTCTCAGAGGATGTTTTGGTGTCTTCTTGTGAGAATTGTAGAGTTTCTGCTTGCTCCGAGTACCCTTCAGCTTGTGAAAAAATTAATCCATACTTGTTCAAAGATTAATTCAATCCACATATATTGAAAGGTGTAGAAAAAAAATGCTTAAAGGGCAAATCCACCAATCTCCCTTGAAATACAAAAAACACAAGATTCCTTGCACTCACACTGAAAATAATAATGCAGAGTGCCAAAGTCTTGGGGCTGGGTATATCTACACATAGATTGATGTATACTTGTAGAATAAAAGGGGGAGGGAAGCAACACCTTAAGGGTGTCTTCCAATCCAAATTCAGGATAAAGTGCAGAATATAGTGTAGTATGTTGAAATTCAGGAGAATGAAATAAAAAGTAATGTACTTACAGTTTTCTAGAGCTGATAGCTAGCTCCAAATGTATGCGCCTGAGTAGTGCAATATCCACCTGTGGATATACTTGATCAAATGGGGAAACTCTAGATGGTATAGAACAAATACAAAAAAAAACAATATGGTGTAGTATGTTCAAAACACCAGAATAAAAAATGATTTATGTAGATGTACACTCACAATTTACTGTACCTACTATTGGCTCTCAGCGATGTGCACAGATGGGCTGGGAGGCAGTCAGTCCACAAACGTAAGTGTACAGGAGTTCCCACTCTATTGGTTTACATAGCAGCAGATTCTCACCTGAGATATATATAAATAAAACACAAATAAAAATATAGTGTTCACTGTTAAAACAGTTAAAAATAATAAAAGGAGATATACTCACTAGTGGAGAGCAAAAGAGGTTTTGCTCAATCCATATGGCATAGGTGGTATAATCCCCACCAAGGAATTTGCTGGTACACTCTTCTGGTTGAAGTCAGGATTTTTTATAAAAAAATATATAAAAGCATAAAAGAGTAACACACTTACCCATTTCACCTTATTGACAGGCTTTCTCAGAAGCTCCTCTATTATGTTCCACAGCTCAGCCACTCTACAGGAGGAAGGTGAGCTGGGAGGGAGAAACTACAAAGGGACTCGGGGAGGGAATATAAAGGGACAATGGGGAGGGAGAGAAACCACAAATGGACAGGGTGAGGAGGAAAGAGACCATACATGGACAGGGGTGATGAGAGATTATAAGGGAAAGGGCTGGGAAATAAAAAAAAGAGACATACAAAGGGGCTGAAAGATTAAAGAGACACACAAAGTTGGCATTTTTTATATTTTGGGTGGGGGTTGTAAGTAGCTGGTCTTGCCTATGGTGCAAAATAGTCTTGCACCAATCCTGCATTTACATCCCATCATGGCAATGGTGTTCCCTGAAAGCAGTGGCCTCTTTCAGCAGGATAATACACCCTGCCACACAAATTGTCTAGAAATGGGTTGAGGAACATGACAAAGAGTTTAAGGTGTTGCTTTGGCCTCCAAATCCCCGAGAACTCAACCCGATTGAGGATCTTTGAGATATGCTGGAACGACAAATCCAACCCATTGAAGCCCCAACTTGCAACTTTCAGCACTTAAAGGATCTGCTGCTAATATAACAGATACCATAGGACACATTCTGAGGTCATGTGGGGTGCATACCTCGATGCCTCAGAGCTGGTTTGGTAGCAAGAGACAGACCTACACGATATTAGGCATGTGGTTTTAATGTTGTGACTGATCAGTTTATATTCATAAACTTAACTTTTATTTATTTTCCATTAGGTTACTAATCTTGTGCTGTCTTCCTGATTCATTTAACCGCATGCCGCACGCCCAAATGAGCTATAAGTACATGTCTACTATAGTCTCACAATCACCAAGATGTAGCTTCTCAGTCATAGGTCAGTTTTAATCTTGGATGGCCATGATATCTTTTCAGAAAAAATTGTACTACTAAGAAAGTCCCCAAGAAAGGCCAAATCAGGCTGGATAATAAAAGCTCTAGTAAGAGTCCATAGTGTTGGTGCCTTACACTTTTGCCAGCTCAGTAGCTTAGTATTGTGGTCATAAGATGGGCAGTTGTCCTGAAGACATGCAAGTTAGTTATCATTGTATGCATTCAGGTGTTTTGCATATTTCCCTTCTCTAAACGATGGTTTGATTGAAAAATTATTTTATTTTAAAAAATATATATATTTTGTATTAAGTGTTCTCTATGACTACTTAATAAGCATAGCACATACCACAAGCTGTCCATTCGTAAATGAAAATATAACTTTTGCAGAGAAAAGTATATTTATGTTATTACTGAATTAATTAATTGATAGAGTATAATTTTCCTAGCCATGATAGTGTACACACATCCCCAGAAGCCACTGCGCCTAATACACTGCTGACCCCCCTTACCACTATCTAATACACTGCTGACCTCCCTCCCCCTATCAATGCACTGCTGATCCCCCTCTCCACTATCTAATACACTACTGATCCCCCTCCCCACTATCTAATACACTGCAGACACCCCTCCACCTATCAATACAATGCTGATCCCCTCTCTAATACACTGCTGACCCCCCTTTCCCCTATCTAATACACTGCTGACCTCCTCCCCCTAATCTAATACAATGCTGATTCACCCCTAATCTAATTCAATGCTGATTCACCCCTAATCTAATTCACTGCTGACCCCCATTCCCCCTAATCTGGACCCCCCTATTTAATACATTGTTGGCCCCCTCCCCCTAATCTAACACACTGCTGACTCCCCTATCTAATACACTGCTGGTGGCCCCATTCCCCTAATCTAATACACTGCTGGTGGCCTCCCTCCCCCTAATCTAATACACAGCTGACATCCTTCCCCCTATCTAATATACTGCTGACTGCTGACCCCCTCCCCCTAATCTAATACAATGCTGATCCCCCAATCAATATACTGCCGACCCCCTTCCCTAATCCTGGACCCCTATTCAATACAGTGTGTGTTGGCCTCCACTCCTAATCTAACACAATACTGACTTCCTATCTAATACACTGCTGACCCCTCTAATACACTATTGGCCTTCTCCTCTAATCTAATACACTGCTGCCCCCCCCATCCCCATAATCTAATACACTGCTGGTGGCCCCCTTCCCCTAATCTAATACACTGCTGGTGGCCTCCCTCCTCCTAATCTAATACACTGCTGACTCCCCTCCTCCCCTAATGCACCCCCAACCAAATGTAATAAACAATAGGTCCCCCAAGTCCCTTTACTACCTGTACTTCAAGATGCAGTACAGTCCACTAGTCTAGTGATGGTCTTCTGACTTCTGCAGAAGCAGACCTTGCACTGTGTGCAGGCGGAGGCAAGGAATGCCGCCAGCCCGCCGCTATGCTGCGCAGTGTAGAGCCACCGCCGAGCAGGTCATATGTCACTCACATCCGGTGGCTGGCGCAGGAGCAACGGCCACGACCGCATGGAGGACAGGCAAAAAAATATATTTTCTTGCCTTGTGGGTTGTGGCTGAGTGCAGCCACATCTCAAATTTCCCGGTATCCCGGTAGGCCAGTCCAGCCCTGTATACACATGGTTTAAGATGGAATTATCTTACAATGCAACCCCTTACCACTTTCTAGAATAGTTGGATGTCTGAACAAAAATTATTTCAAACGTTTACCCTCCCAAACTGTACATGTAAAATTATATATAGATAAAAATAGAATGTATGTGAATAATGCTACTGACCCAAGGTTTAGAC